GCAAATTTAGCGAGTGCGAATGTAAATTTAGCGAGTGCGAATGTAAATTTAGCGAGTGCGAATGTAAATTTAGCGAGTGCGAATGTAAATTTAGCGAGTGCGAATGTAAATTTAGCGAGTGCGAATGCAAATTTAGCGAGTGCGAATGTAAATTTAGCGAGTGCGAATGCAAATTTAGCGAGTGCGAATGTAAATTTAGCGAGTGCGAATGCAAATTTAGCGAGTGCGAATGCAAATTTAGCGAGTGCGAATGTAAATTTAGCGAGTGCGAATGCAAATTTAGCGAGTGCGAATGCAAATTTAGCGAGTGCGAATGTAAATTTAGCGAGTGCGAATGCAAATTTAGCGAGTGCGAATGTAAATTTAGCGAGTGCGAATGTAAATTTAGCGAGTGCGAATGTAAATTTAGCGAGTGCGAATACAAATTTAGCGAGTGCGAATGCAAATTTAGCGAGTGCGAATTGAATTTAGCGAGTGCGAATTGAATTTAGCGAGTGCGAATTGAATTTAGCGAGTGCGAATTGAATTTAGCGAATTTTGAAACAAACAGACGACCATAAAACCCAGAAGAAGGCGAAAAAACCCGAAGATTTTGGACATCCCGGAAATTGATGATGGCATTAACAGGAAGTGAATAAAGCATTTTTTGAGTGAATGAACTACATGAACTGAATGCAGATATTATATTTCACGAAGACAATGCACAAGATAGTCAAGACAACGGCATTTTGAAAATGAATTTGGATTCCTATAAAGCAGCAAGAGGATTTGTTATTTATTCCAATTGCCTTCGAAAGAATCTGCACGAAAGGTAAGCGATAATTAACAATTATTGGATGAGGTTTTTTGTGATATGCGGAATTATCAATTTTATATATTTTATATGAGTTATTTCAAATAGATGGAAAACATGTTGCCATTAAATTATTTCCGGAGGTCATTATATTTAGTACCATGATGAGATTTTGGCAATATTGAACAATTTTTGTATTCGGTTTTTGCATGAATTGAAGAATTATCGATGCCGAAGTTTGTGTTGTTTACAGTAGCTGAAGGCTGAGTTTCACTGAGAGTTTCACCGCTGGCTTTTAGCCAATGAGAAAACACAAATCTTTTAAATAAATGATAGTAATAAATTCAATTTGAAACAGATTGTTAAAATGTTTATTCCCTGTACTGATAAAATAATATTGTTGGAAGCATAATTTCACAGAATATGTAGTTTTAAAAATAATGCCCACATGTTGGGTTTGCAGCCCAACCAACAGCAACATGCTACATATTGTGCTGTTACATTAATATATCATGTCAAACATAATCCTCACTATGTATCTGTCCAAATTTGATTTGTTGAGTTGACCAAATCAATGTTAGCCATATTTAATTACGATATACACAGCTGTTCGAGGCGGGGTGGGGTTGGAGGATTTGCATAGAAGCACCTGAATACTTATAGTTTTATCACTGTAATGTCAATATACATGAGGTTGTTCAGCATTGCATGGATACGTAGACTTCGCATATATCTCTTCACTGCTTAATGACAGAGCCTGATACAAGCTACAAGTTACCGATACAATCTACAAGTCACTGATACAAGCTACCATGGAATAAAAATAACTAGTTACAGTCACAAAGTCACTTTGAAAATTTTGTGACTATACTGTACATACATAAAACCAGTTTGCTCATGAGCTCGCTCATATACATACCAAAAATCAGTATATGCTCATGAGTACACTCATAGCCCTCATATACATACATAAAACCTGTATGCCAATTAGCACACTCATATACATACATAAAACCTGTATGCCAATTAGCACACTCATATACATACATAAAACCAGTATGCCAATTAGCACACTCATATACATACATAAAACCAGTATGCCAATTAGCACACTCATATACATACATAAAACCAGTATATATGCTAATGAGCACACTCATATGTATAAATACCTAAAATGTATGACTATACTGGGACTATATAGTCAAAAGGTTCAAACTGTCTTGTTATGTTAACTTGGTCAGTTTTTATTGAGCGAGGGACTCATATCTTACATATTTAAATACAGTTGAAGAATGTGAAAGTTTGTATGTGATACTAAAAAGTTGGATCATTTTGATTGATTGCAGGTCAAAAGTAAACACAATTTATATATTAGGAATCTTTTAAAGTTAACTTGATAGCAGAATCTAGCTTCTTGGTAGATGTGATATTATACTCCAGCCCATCCTTTACTGCACATGCGCATTAGTTCAAGACATAGTATTTTCTATGAATATAAAATTGCATATTACTGCGAATATCAAATTATAGATGTAATGTTTCTGAAGATCGAATAAGGCAACATTTCTTTTCCTTTATTTAAAGAGCAAACATGAACTATAGCTTTATATGAGCGTTTACTCAAAGCGCAACAAGTGCTTATACGTACTTGTCTACCAAATATTTCACAATATTCTCGTATTTATATTTTATTCTATAAAGCATGATTTCTACTAATCCTCGCACGAAGCAACTCGCTTGTGGCTCTTGCATCTCATTAAAAAGGGCTTACAATTAAAATTTCGTACATTGAGACTCCGATCATACGAAATCTGATGAATTCAGAACCGTACATCGCATTAGTTCGCTTTCATGTGTTCGCCGCACGGGAATTCGTATGGAGAGCTGTGGTCGCTGTGGTGTAGTTCGTCTGGTTTGATACGTCCTAGGAGAACACCCATGAGAAATCATGAAAACTTGAGTATGGTCTGAGACTACGTTCAATGCTCAAGTTTGAACTGTCTTGCTTTGCGTTAACACGCGACCCACGAAGGCGGACAATTCCAGCTCAGCCTGCTCAGGTAACCGCACGAATTCCCGTGTGAATAAATGAAACGCGACTAATTTGCGTCCAGTTGCGATCTCGTCTGCTCTCGTGTGAATGTAATGTAGAAATATGAACAAACTTACCAGAAATTTTCACAGGAACAATGTTTCACTGTAGATAAGGTCGTTCTTTCTGTAAAACAATGCCTTTCTATCTGAATATATTACGAAACATCTCGTGATCAAGCTGTGATCTCAAGTGGCTTTCTGACTTCCTGTCTAGGAATTACTCAATTTTCAAAATATGTTGATATATTTCACAGAAATAACAATTCTACACATCAGTTGTTATTACTATGAATATAGAAGTTACATCTTAATCATTTTAATGTGTATATATAGCTTGAAAAGTTCAAAATATGCATTTCTTGTACTCAGATATATTACGTCATTTCGTGGAAGCGATATTTCAATGTAACAGTATACGGAGAAATCGGGCAGCGTCACAAGGATTATTCCACCGTGACGCGAGGATTAGGATTATTTCAGGGTTGTGATTTTACAAAAGGTTAGAATTTGGGTTATGGTAAGGGTTATGGTTAGGTTTTTCCTAAGAGGAAAATACCCCATAAACACATGCACAGTTTACCAACTTGACAGTCTTACCAGTTTTACCAGATTTCAGATGTATGTCTTGGCGTTCAACGTAGATCGCGGCGCGAAGGTACCACTTAAACACTTTCGGGAAAATTATTTTTCTCGTATATTTTATAACACTGTGTTATTCGTCATCTATCTGACTACATTGACTATATTCGGCGAAAATTTGATATAAATTGGATAAAAATTCGCCGAGTAATGGTAGATCTCCCGAAACGCGCGTGCCTATCCTGTAACCTTAATTTGTAATAATGAAGAGAAATTAGGTTTGTTATCTTGCAAAAGTTCTCTGTCTTCGCAACCGAATTAACGTGTATTGCCAGAGGCCAATGCATGGTATAACAACTAATTAGGATGTTAGGGTTTGTAATCCAAGTGAGAATATATAAATTTTAAGACCTAACCAGAAACGACTGCGAAAAATGCAGCACAAGGTCTTCTGGTAGGAATTGAACCTACGGGCCTGCGATTCCGGTGCAGCGCTCTAACCAACTGAGCTACAGAGGCCAGCTGTTGAGCTGTAACCGTAAGTTCATGTATATATAGGTTACAGCTCAACAGCTGGCCTCTGTAGCTCAGTTGGTTAGAGCGCTGCACCGGAATCGCAGGGCCGTAAGTTCAATTCCTACCAGAGGATCGGACCTTGTGCTGCATTTTTCGCAGTCGTTCCTGGTTAGGTCTTAAAATGTATATATTCTCACTTGGATTACAAACCCTAACATCCTAATATTCATTCCACCAAGTGAAGTGCAAGAATCTAAGTCATTCAAGCCCACCGTAACAACTAACTTTTTTTAATTTTTTTTTTAAAGAACTTTATTGGGTCATTAACAACTATATTTACAATAATTATACAAATAATTGGGCAAAGATACACTAATTTAAAATAACAACAATAAAAGAACCCAATTGGGAAAAGTGCGAACGGGACTCCAAGTCTCATGCGGGGCACTTTCCCTAAAATAAAATAAAATAAAATATCATTTTCCAGTCAAAATAGAAAACAGAAAAAATTAAAAATAACAAACGAATAAAACAAGACAGAACAATATGTTCTGATATTCAGAGGGTATGACACCACAAATACAAAATAATAATATTGATCGTTATCAAAATTCACAAAACAAATAATTTTTATTATGACTGTACATTTATATATACTTCTTTCAAATAAATTCAATGTTTACTTCTTACTAATGTCAATGTTCAGATTAAAATGTTTTTGTTCAACAAAAGGTATATTAGCATGCTAAGGTTTTTTTCAACGAAACTACACGTTCAATATTTACACAGAGATTATATAGGTTATATCTAAAACTTTTACATGATTAAATTGATCAAAATCTTTGTTTAAACAAATACTAGTTATAGGAAAAGTAATTTATACATACAATATTTACATAGAAATTATACAAGCTATATATAAAGTGGCAACACAATACGCTTCACAGTAAAGTTAACCCACTGATCTCAAAACACTGGATGGAGTTTCCTTTTGTATTCAGTAAACCAATTTTGAAGTCAGTTTTAGTTAACCCACTGATCTCAAAACACTGGATGGAGTTTCCTTTTGTATTCAGTAAACCAATTTTGAAGTCAGAATATTTAGAATCAGATGAGATCGCAAAGTCTGTCAAAATCTCTGCAAATCGGATCACGACGTCTTTAAATTAGCTACATTATGAAGCAAATGTCTTTTCCTATGTAACTTAAAAAATATAGCCTCCCGTATTTCTTCTAATGAGTTTTAGAACGTTTTAAACACTAGATAATGAGACTTGTGGCAACCATCTTGGTGTGACATCAGTTATTCACGAGCAAATTTAAGCGGGAAGAGAGGCGACTGTTGATAAATTTCTATTCAGACAATGTTTATCCTTTCTCAGCGATAACTAGAAACTGTAAGAACCTCTTACACTATGTCATCAACACCACAGTAGATTTGTGCTGCTCACATCAATATGGCCGACATTGCCTTCATTTCTGCATAGAGGATGCACTATGCAGAGCTAGATTTGAGATCAGAGAGTTAACCCAAGTGCAGGTCATTGATGATGGTTATAATTTCATGTCATGTAGATACTAAATATGCAAATGAAAGGGAAATAAATAACATTGACTGAAGCCTGCTGGGCATTAAACAACTCTGAACCGTAACCATCATTGAAGGGTTAGAACTCAGGGCCGGTGTTTTATGATCAGGTTTCAGTCAATGTTATTTATTTTCTTTTGTGTGAATATTTAGTATCTACAGGACATGAAATTATAAATCTGATGATCAACCCTCATGGCACAAAGTACCGTAAATGATCCAATAAATGCCCTGGGCGTTGATTAAATTTTCGTACCTTGAAGGGGGCGTTTATTAGATAAAGGCGTCTATTAGAGAGGGGCGTTTATTCTTACATACGGCATATCTAGGTTTCTTAAATAACACTTTCCAAGAGTTTGCAGAGTGAACGAAAGTCAAAATCTTCAACTTTCATAGCTCTTACATTCCATTGCACCTATATGCCCAACATTAATAATTTAATAAGCGTTCAATCCAATAAATGTTTAATTAAATTATTTAAATCTTGGAAATTCTCGAGTAGGGAGAGGGACGTTTATCACATAAGAGACTTTTTAAAGAGTGACGCATCTATTTTAACAAAGTCTGGGTTGACCAGGGTGTCTATTAGATAGAAGGCGTTTATTAGAGAGTGGGCGTTTATTGGATCATTTATGATATGCATGCAAAGGCGAATAAGAAGTTTATATGGAGAGCTTTTCAGTTGTGAGGTTTTACTACAGCAGTTGCGTTAGCTCTTTTTTCTTTCATCCCTGGCAGTTCTCTCCAATGATCACCTCCGATTGTGAAACTTTCTACTGAGTTGAGAAATCCCTCCTCTTTACTCCATCCTCCCAATACAACAATGACGTCATGCATAATTACTGCTGAGGAACCACACCTCTTGTGTATCAGTGGAGGCAACTTCTGACTTTGTCCTGATTCAGTGTCGTACATGGTGACTTCATTTAAGACCTGGTCATTCTTATCCCTACCGCCAATAAGTATCACCATGTTACCCCAAGTAACTGTGGACATTCCCCAGACAGACTTGGGTAACGATGGACATGGTTTGAACTTATTCTTGATGAAATCGTACACGACAACGCTATCAATGGCGTCTTTACTATAGCCTGTGTTCGATGCTCCCAAGATAAGTAGTTTGCCGTTTACAATCTCTGCTCTGTGGTTTCTTCTTGGCTGAGGCATTCTAGCCAGCGGCTTGGCAGTATAAGGCGGGATAATAGACAGCTCGTAGATGTTATCATTTATTTTATTTTCACTCGCGTTATGTCCTCCTATGACGTATAGTTTACTTTGATAAACTATAACGTCATGATCAGATAACTTGACCGGCAGTTTACCATCAAACATCATCCATCGCAAAGGACCCTGGTTCATCTTTAAAATCTCAATGCTGTCTGTACCACCTTGACCATCGAAGCCGCCAGTGATGATGACGTCGCCGTTGTAAACACATGATGCTGAACTTGCTCGAGGGTGATTGAGTTTTGGTAGCCGAGTCGATTTCCCTTTTGCTATGTTGAATTTTTCTACTGTTTTCGATACACTTTTATTTCCTGGGGCATAAAAACCGCCAACAATAATAATGTCTTGGTCGTTGACTGGAACTGGTGGATCTAAAGCTTGAGCACCATTGTTGTTTATATTTCTTCTTTCCAACAGCTTACCGAACATTTCTGTCATTCTTTCAAATTGGTTCCTTACCTCTGCTTGAAACGCCATTTGATCTGCTTTCATTTCTGCTTGAGTTTGCTTTATCTCGTCAACATTATCCTGAATAGTAAAATTAAAAACTTGCATATCTAGGTTGCGGTGTTAATGGTCAGATATCTCAGAGATGACACGGGATACCTTTTGATAAAATATGGTTCACGCAGTGAGTAAACATACATAACTCATAATTGTTCTGTTTCGTGAAAAACATCAGATTGATCGTTTTTTGACCAAGCTTGCAATCCGTAAGCTCAAATCGTCGTCAATAAAATCATTTGTGCAATCATGAAAATCTTATGGCTTACAGATTGAAAGCTTTTCCATGTTTTCAAGTAGACGTATGTAGCGTTTTTACTAGTGAAACATCGAGAATTGTTCGCAAAATAAGCCTTAAAAGTTCCCAAGACAATGTTGTCTTACCTTCATTTTATTTACTTTGACATTTATAACATCTTGAGATTGCTTCATCACGTCAACATTTTCCTAAATTAAAGTAGAAGTGTTAAGATATCTCAGAGATGACCACAAATACGAATGACATGCACGAGTGACAAAAAAGCCGCTTCGGGATATATAGCAGAATTATGATAAAAGGCGAAAAAGTGCTATAATAAATATCTGTGCTGAGGTTTGAATTATACATATAATCAAAGACTGATGATTTTCAAAATTCAGATTTATTTACAGCAAACGTTCCTTTGCCACTCGTGGTCAAACGTGGTCCACTCAGGTGTATTTTCAAATCAGTTCAAATGATGAACTGTGGTTAATACAGTAAGTAAAAATTAATGTTGTAATTGTTCTATTTTGTGGAAAACAGCAGATTCTGTTTGACGAAGCTTCCAATCCGTAAGCCCGGATAGGAAGCGAATATTAATCAATAAAAATGTGCAGTGATGAAGATGTTGACTTAGCTAAGGAATGATAGCCTGCGTTCCAGTCCACTCAACCGTTGTGTGTAGTGGACTGGAAGACAGGCTAGGGAATGAAAGGCAAGGGTGGGTAGTAGCGAAGTAGTTGTAGTTCGCTACTGTATAAAAATCTGTTTATAATTTTCAGATTGTTGTTTCTCACTTAATCCGGAACTGTCTTGTTGTTGTCGTTATCTACACTGGCACAGATCGTTCGAGACGATATCGACAAGGGTTCGATATCGTTGCCAGAGATTTGCCAGGCGGAAAACGAATTCTTATGATAAATATCAGAGCCCAACATATAACTTTTAACAAAGCCATTAAAACAGTTAAGATTTTAAAGAATTTTTATTGTAACTTAAGACATCTTCAGACTAGATAAAATTACATGAGATTTGAATATATATGAGCTAATAGATTATAATTAGCTTATATATATTCAAATCTCATGTAATTTTATCTAGTCTGAAGATGTCTTAAGTTAAAGACGAAACGTTGCAATAAAAATTCTTTAAAATCTCAACTGTTTTAATGGCTTTGTTAAAGTTTTTATGTTGGGCTCTGATATTTATGACAAAGGTTCGTACAAAACTTGACAGTCCTTCAATTTGAAAACAAAAATTCAAAAAGCCTTGAAAGTCCTTGAATTTTATGCAGTGCCGTAGGAAGCTGTTTTTGATTGGGGGCTGAAAGTGAGGGCCGAAGGTCCGAGGAAATTTTTAAATTTATAGAGTCTCTGAAATGCTATTTCCTGGACTTTGGGGAAGATTTGACAGAATTCTGATGGTCAGAAAACAGCGTTTTAGTATGCCGAAATTTACAATTTAGTAGTACTGAGTGGGTGAAGGCGCATTTAATTTACTATATATTGGATAAGTTGCAGGAAAAAGTATGGGTAATTTTTTCATTCTTTGCAGTTTGTCATGGATAATGTAGCCGCTTAAAATGAATCAATTGTCAGTATTTTAAAGGTATATTATTTAAATGATAAAGGTCTGCATGATTTTGAAAAAAGAATGATTATTAGCAAATTATTGGGCGGGGCTGCAGGTTGCTACGGCCCCGTATAAAGAAGTGTTTGAAAATCCTTAAATTCTTCATGCTTTAGTTTCTGGATATTTCCTGGAATTGTTTCACATTAAAAAAACGAAGATGTTGTTAAATTGATTTTGTTTATGTGCAACCAAACTGTGCAATTCATTAAAGTTGTCGTTTGAATTACACCAACTTAACGTCACTTTTAGTGATTTCTAACGCCTTCTTTTCGGCCCTTTTGTCTTTGAATTTGCGAATACATGGCCTTGAAAGTCCTTGAAAAGTCTTTGAATTTTATTCTTCCAGACAGGCACGAACCCTGTGTTTTACTACAAAACAATTATAATGATTGCCATACAAACATAATGAAAGAAACGAAGAAAATTTGGTCTTACCTTAATTTCATCCTCCATTCGTGTGTTCTGAACTTTCATTTCATCTTGGCTTGCTTTCATTTCATTCTGACTTGCTTTCAATTCATCTTGGCTTGCTTTCATTTCTTCTTGACTTGCTTTCATTTCATTCTGACTTGCTTTCATTTCATCTTGACTTGCTTTCATTTCTTCTTGACTTGCTTTTATTCCATTCTGACTTGCTTTAATATCTTTGCAGTCGTGACATTTGGCGATTCTAAATTGGCAAAGATTTTTCTCATGGTTTTCTTGATCCCGTCTATTGACCTCGGTCTCACATCCTTCATTTCCACACATGACGGGCGCGAATCCACATTGATCGACATGTCTTTGAAGATCTTCAAGCCGGACAACGTCAGGACAGCCACGATCATGGTGGTCGCACTTGATTTTCAGATCTTCTAAATAATTCTTCAAAAATCTTGTAGGACGTTTCAGGGTTTCTGGAGTCAGGGGGTCTCTGCAAACTGGGCATGTGTGAGAATTTTGATGCAGATGTCGCGATATATGAGCCAAACAAAATATATGATCTTCATTCTGGCAAACTCTTGGGTCCTTTGGCACATCTTGGCAAACAGAACAGAGCAGATCTTCTCTCACTTCGCCTACGAAACGATTGACATCATAACCTTGCTCGTCGTCGTCCATAACTTCAGAACAGAGCAGATCTTCTCTCACTTCGCCTTCGAAACGATTCACACCATAACCTTGCTCATCGTCCATTCTGCACGCCATTGTTGAACGTCTGAAAGATTACAAAAGAGTTGCAGGATACAGAATTATAGATATGAACATAATAATTACGGATTTAAGCTGATTTACTAGCAATAAAACGCAATTATTTCCAGTACATTACGATTGCTAACAAAATGAGAAAATTTTGATCATTCTAAACGATTTAGTTACCCATTATTAAGTAGGTAGCAAGGTAAAATGTAACTTGGGGTTTACTGAGCACAGTCAAACAGCAGTACTGTAGTAATATATTATGTATAGACAATAAACTATAGAAAATGTGTTACCTGATTAATCCTGGAAAGAATGACCTTTAGGTGCTTGGAAATCAGTGGTCGATATGAAAAGATTTTTTCAAAAATTGATCTGTTGAAGAGTAAAGAAATAGAAATGTTAGGTGATTGTTCATTGGTTGATCAATTGGTGTTGAGGCACAATAGTTCGTTTTGGGACAACTTTCTTTCCCTAAATTTTCTTTCCCTTTCTTTCCCCTGGCTTGTATAAGCTCATCAGCAGGTCCAAAATTGCGATTCACTTTTCAGTGGTATTTGTGAATCAAAAATTTGATACAGTCGAACCTCTATAAGCGGACAACTTTCCTAAGCGGACACGTCTTTTAAGCGGACACATATCTCAGGTCGTATTCGTTTTCTTTAATAAAATACTATTATCATAACCCCTATTAAGCGGACACCCCTCTTTAACGGACGCGGACACCTTACTTGAGGTCCCAATGGGCAAACCATGCAACCTCTCTTAAGCGGACAGATGACAGATTGTCTGATAAAATTTATTCAATATTCGACAGTAAATAACAATTTTATAGATCAATTTACATGACGTGCAGTTTCTACAGATAAATATATTAGACCAATCTAATTTAATCTTGGAGGTTCAAATATGTCTTTTAAGTTTTAACCAGCTGCAAGAGAAACTATACACATTCTGTGTATTTGTGGGGATGAAGTCTCCATAAAATGTCAACTTAGGCCTATAGACTCGATATATGTCAAATATATCTAAAACTAAGGACTGTCCATATGAGTTTAGTACCTTTGATCAGGTTAAGGACTGTCCATAGGGCCTAAAAAAATACCTGTGGTTCCGGTTTCCGACCGACCCTATTTTTTTCTGCCGACCCTATTATTTTTTCAACGTGATTTACCGTGCGACCCTGTTTTCTCCGGGTGGTTGCGGGCTGCTGCCAAAATGGCGTCTGTTGTCGCACTAATTATTGGGAAAAAAACATGAAAAAAATATTCAAAAAAAATTTTTTTCAGACCTACCGACCCTAATTTTTTCGCGATACGAAAACTGAACCACAGGTACTTTTTTAGGCCTAGGGGTTTTGCTCTCCGATTGGCCAGGGGCAGGGTAAGGACCATGGGCGTACCGGAAGGAAAAATTTAGGGGGGCGGCAAGAAATTTGCCCGGGTTTTCCGGATTTTGCCCGACAAGTACCGAAAAAATTGTTTCCGGAATTTGTTTTGGCGACTCCCCCCCCCGTCGCCAAAAAAATTTCGGTCAGTGTACCATTTTAGGGGTCAACAATTTTTTCCGGACATACCTAAATTGTCCGGAACCTACAAAAATTTGGGAAACATCACTAAATTTTCCACAAAATTTACAGAATTTGTCCCATTTATTTTTTTTATTAACCAAAATTGCCCGACTGTTCAGCGAATATTGCCCGACTGCCCAAAAAACTGGGGGGGGGGGGCTGCCCCCCCGCCCGGTACGCCCATGGTAAGAACTGTCCATACTGCAGGTTAGAACTGTCCAAGTGAATCTTGGTCAGATTATGAGCAGCCAGTTCATAATCAGTGCAGCTAATAGGGTGTGACATATGAGTAGGGATGATGCTTGTCATAACACAAATGGACTCTTCACAACCCAGAACCCTTCTCCCACGAAAAATAAAAAATTGTGTTTAATATTGTGTTTGTCGAGAAAGTGGAGCAAAAATCAACAACTTGGGTCATTAATATTAGACTAATCTAATTTAATCTTCGATGTTCAACTTTTCTTACTTTAATTTGTCTTTTAAGTTTTAACCAGCTGCAAGAGAAAGTTCGACGCCATAACCAGCTCCTCTGTTGACACGTGCACGTTTACCCTTGATTATTACTGTTCCTGAATTGGTTGCGCGTTTCAAAAATTGTGTTACCAACCCCGCCATTAACTTAGGGATGTGACCAACAATCAAATCATTTGTCATTTCATTCCGATGAACGAAGAAAGACTTCATCTGCAGTCTTTTCTTCTGTAATCTGGTAGATCTCACAGAAGGGCTTGAGCTTTGCCTTTTACAAACAACAGCAATCGTTCGAAATGTAATTTTATGCTAATTATTTGCTAGATATTTGTTACTGTTTTGATACTCAAACTACACACCCAAATTTGCCTCCTGCTGTGTTTTTCTGCGAACCCCTTTTAAGCGGACACTTAGGCGAGATCCCGAAGGTGTCCGCTTAATAGCGGTTCGACTGCAATTGTTGAAGAGAAGAAGTATATGGCGGATTTTGAACGCGTCATTTGAATGCGCAATCGAATTTCGCGATTCGTGTATTGTGGTATGCCTTTGCCTCTTTGTTTTGTTATAGTCAAGCAAACCAATGTTGTTTAAAATAATATCGTTGCTCTGATAATCAACAAAATGTTGAGTGAGTAAAAGGTTGGGTAAACGAAAAAACAAAACAACTGAAGGATTGGGTAATAAAAATTTATTGTCATTTCCAAAGCACGACTAACTCATATATTGAAGACTAAAAACTAAAAAGCAATGTCAACACTCAACAGTCATATGTCAATACAATATGTAAAAGAAGCAGAGTCACTGTTTTCCGCGCTGCGTTTATAATTTGGAAACTCATTAGAATAAAAATATAACTCGTATATTATCTATGTTGGTCAACGTTTATTCATAAATCTGGTCTTTCACCGTCACATGCGTATTGTATTTTTGCCCGATTAACCAATAGGAATGTTTTAGGAAAGTTACCTATCCGTGACTCGAACAATAGGGTAAATTGGAAATTGCTATTGGTGGATTTGGCAAAAATACAATACACACGTGACGGTGAAGGACCAGATTTATGAATAAACGTTGACTAACATAGATAATGAGTTATATTGTTATTCTAATGAGTTTCCTAACCATCTGTTGTTCTATTATAACTATGATTAAATTAATTAATCAGCACATAATCATATGTTGAACGATACATCGTCTAACAAAGAAATATTCACCCTTTTAAAAAACTTCGACATAGTCTAGAGTTCCACAGCATGTAAAGACAATTTATTTGTACAAGAATCTCTTCAGTAAATATATCTAGCTGGTAAATAAGTATACACGAATGTTTTTCACACAGTAGCCCATCCCAATCTGCACATGCGCATTTGTTTAAGAGGAACTAGAATTCTGTAGCTTTTGAACTGTGATATATGAATACCAGTATCAAAATATATATATCTAATGTTTTCTGTCTTACAATAATCTAAACCCAACATCATCTTGTATTTATTTCTGCGCAAAACACAAGACTGCAGCTTGCGTGTTACTTAAAGCGCTAATCTTATCTACCAACTATTTTGCTGAATAATCGTCGGTTTACAAGCCCAATTTACTAGACTTTGCGACACGCTAGAAGGCCTAGAAGCGCGCGCTTCTTATGAAACTCACAATCAATGTCTACAGTGAGACTCGGTCGACATGGAGACGAATGAATCAAATTTGCGCGCTTTCGCTTTGGCATTGCGCTTACGCAAGGCATTATTAAACTGGGCAATTCGAGCGCAAATAACCCTTGAATTCCCTTGTAAAGAAACGGAACGCGATTAATTGGCGTTCGGTTACAAATTCGTTTGAATAGGAGGTAAAAATATGAACAAACTCACCAGAAATTTTCGCAGCAAGTCTTTATAGCTCTGTCGTTCAGTAAAACAACGCCTCTCTGTCTCTAGATTGCGAAAACGTCTCATTGACAAGCTTTGAAGCCAATTAACTTCCTTCCAGGAAGTGCGCAATTCTCAAAATATGTTAATATATTTCATAGAAATATCAATTATACACATTAATTATTTTAAATGATCAGTGGATTCGCAGTCCAGTTGTCATATATCGTCCCCAAGAGGAGAGAGATTGACAACATGGCGAGATTTTTTAAAGGACAAAAGTAACAAATTTGGTCTGTGAAGTGAAAGCAAACGTTTCGTGGAAGATATTTGAATGAAATGGAAAGGAAACGGTCTATATTCTTTTCTTTGAACGACAGAGCGTGCGGATATACAAACCGAACAAATTTACATCAAAATGTGTTAGGTATGTTTTAACATAGACTGTATTAAAATGACAATATGACATCGTACTTTTGTGATTGTGTCTCAGTAAGCATCACAAAGCAATATAACTGACTTATAGGGCCAAGCAAATTAAATTGCATTTCTTAATTCGTGAAATAGAAGGTTATCTATAAATTTACAATAAAAATATTAACATTTTCTTATTCTGATATAACTGCAAGTTTATATAATATGCTATATGGTCAGCTAGGCTCATTTAAGACGCTATACTTTTGGTTTGCCGAACTTAATTGGGGTACGACAGAAGAGTGACATATGAATCAGTTAAGTATGGCAGAATTTGGAGCGACAAGTTCAATGCAAGTTAACTTGTCGTTTTATTTGACGTTTCTGATACTCGGAGTGTATATCCACACCGGGCAGTCTGAAAAGTTTGCCTGACCACGGTGGGAATCGAATTTGTAACCTTTGGGATACTAGTCCAATGCTCTGCCAAATGAGCTACGATGTCTGTTCGAGTGTGTGGTATTTTAGTACCTTCAATACCAATGTGTTGTTATGATCATGAGGTTGAGTTCGATTCCCACCGTGGTCAGGCTAACTTTTCAGCCTGCCGGGTGTGGATGTACACTCAGAGTAACATCACAAACAATATATTCACCTGAGTACATAACATCAAAATGCACACAAAAAAGTATTATTTTTGACGTTGGAACGACATTGATTCATATGCTGCCCCTACCATATGCCAAACCTAACTCAACTTTTTATGAAATTTGTTAGTATTATATTAGCTATCTTCGCACCTATTCAAACCTGGCTTAAACTATTAACTACTGCTCCAAATGCTGTTCTTTCAACTTAAGTTGTTGCTCTGTAGTTATGTAAATAATGTTCTAGTTATGTACTGTAAATACAGTTCTTTCAGTCAGGGGCATAGGAAGCATTGGGGGGGAGGGGCACCGGCTTCTAGGGGCACTTTAGGGTATTGAAAAGGGCACCTAAAAAATTTTTCCAGGAATTGTTGTCGACGAGGGGGGGGGAGAAGAAAAATTTTTTAAAAAAACTTGGAAATTTCCAAACAAAAAGGGCACAGGTCTTTGATGTTAATTTAGTATGTACAGCGACGTTAGCTTGTACAAAAAGGGCACTTTTCATCACAAAAAAGGGTACTTTTAGTCCTTTGAAAAAATTTGGGGGCCCCCTGTGTCCCCCCCCCCGTTCCTATGCCCCTGCTTTCAGTCTATTTGTTTCTTCTTTTATATTTAGGCAGTGAACAGCTGATCAAAAGATTAAAATGCGAACATCTGTTTGTTGGCCACGAAGGCTGCGTAAGTACCCCATGTAGCTCAGATTATTGAAAATTTGATGCCTGTGGCAATGCACCCTACTTTATTATTTTATTCTGTCTAATGCCAGACACCTTCAAGGCCGATTTACACTACACAAGTTTAAGCCTAAAAGTGTTGCATTCAGCCTAAATTTTGTCTCCAAATGCTTTAGGAAATGTTTACTGGTATATGTAATTTAAATTCTCTGACAAAATTTTCACTGTTTTCAAACAGGTGAACACGGTCGCCTGGAATGATGGCGGAGATATACTACTCTCAGGCTCAGATGATTGTAAATTGAATATCTATAAACTATTTTCCACAAAGGTATTTTGTTTTATAGTTTATGGTATGGGATTCATTGAGTCCCGTTTGTACTATATATTACTGTTTTCATACCAATAAAGATCAGGATTTTAGCTGTCGAATGCTACCTTTCTTGCATCTTTGCGATACAAGTGCCGCTCGAAATCACATTTTTCCACCATTGGGAATTCCATGTAAAGCTATTGTCTGAGTATTGAAATGATTCTCATTTGGGATTCATACAAGTATGTAAGTTGCTTGAATAAAGATGGTGCAAAGCATGTGTCGTTGAATTTTGCATCGAAATAGACATTATGCATAATGACGTCACAAGATCCATTATCGAAATTTTCCCGGGCGATGACTACTAAGACCTGCATTCCTTGCGGGCATCAAGCCTTGTGACGTCATTATGCATGAGGTTTATTGAGTGAATAAAACATTTTATAACACTGGAAGTTTGCGTACTGACCCACAATGCCATACGTTTCCAAATGGGCAAAAAGCATTTGGGCAAATGTGCGAAAATTGGACGAACATTTAAATCCTCATAAAAACATGAGCAGCAGTGTTTTATCAGATATAAAGATACGAGGCGAAGCCAAGTATCTTTAGGTCTGATAAAACACACACTGCGAATGTTTTAAATTGCTTCAAAAACTATCAATCTAGTAAGTTCATTGGCGAAGTAATTTTCAAAAAATACGTTGTGTAAGTTGAGAAAATCAAAGTTAAAGTTTATGTAAATCAAGGGAAATCTCTTTCACATATAAAGATACGACACGCTTATGATTTTTCTTTGTGTTTTCCTCATGAATTATTAATCAGTTTTTGAAGCAAATACTGTATATAGTCCTTGTGTCACATTTTAAATTACTCAGGTTATTTTCAAGTCCCAGATAGCTAACTTTTTTTATAAAACATTACTATTGGTTGGTTAATGTTCAATGTTGGTATACCCTTATTTTTTAGCCAGTACAGGCCATTCAAAGTGGTCATCAAGCGAATATTTTCAGTGCAAAGTTTCTACCTTGCACAGCAGATACCAAGGTACAGTTTTATTTTTGTTTGAGAGGATTTTATGAATGAACTTGCTGGAGGGGCTTGTGTGGAGAAGTCATCATAGCAAGCGCCTCACTATGGACTCATGTGAAAAGAGTCCGTCAACGCTTTGTCGAAAGTCGTGGGTTTTCTCCGGGTCCTCCGATGTCTTCCCACAGGGAAAGTTGACAAGGATGGGTTAGGATAAACACAGTTAAGAAAGTAATATCACAATTGTCGTAGAAATAAAATAGTCTAGGCTAAGAGGTAAGCGCATAATACTTGATGTAAAGCACATTTGATCATATGTGGATATTTTATAGAAGCATTTCTATTAGTTGTAGTAGTAGTAGTAGTTCTGGCATTTGTAAAGGTAGTTCTGCCATTTGAAAAGGGAGTTTTGCTATTTGAAAAGGGAGTTCTGCAATTTGAAAAGGGAGTTTTGCCATTTGAAAAGGGAGTTTTGCCATTTGAAAAGGGAGTTCTACTATTTGAAAAGGGAATTCTGCTATTTGAAAAGGGAGTTCTGCTATTTGAAAAGCGAGTTCTGCTATTTGAAAAGGGAGTTCTGCTATTTGAAAAGGGAGTTCTGCTATTTGAAAAGAGAGTTCTGCTATTTGAAAAGGGAGTTCTGCTATTTGAAAAGGGAGTTCTGCCATTTGAAAAGGGAGTTCTGCCATTTGAAAAGGGATTCTGGCATTTGAAAAGGGAGTTCTGCCATTTGAAAAGGGATTCTGGCATTTGAAAAGGGAGTTCTGCTATTTGAAAAGGGATTCTGGCATTTGAAAAGAGAGTTCCGCCATTTGAAAAGGGAGTTCTGCTATTTGAAAAGGGAGTTCTGCTATTTGAAAAGAGAGTTCTGCTATTTGAAAAGGGAGTTCTGCTATTTGAAAAGGGAGTTCTGCCATTTGAAAAGGGAGTTCTGCCATTTGAAAAGGGATTCTGGCATTTGAAAAGGGAGTTCTGCCATTTGAAAAGGGATTCTGGCATTTGAAAAGGGAGTTCTGCTATTTGAAAAGGGATTCTGGCATTTGAAAAGAGAGTTCCGCCATTTGAAAAGGGAGTTCTGCTATTTGAAAAGGGAGTTCTGCTATTTGAAAAGAGAGTTCTGCTATTTGAAAAGGGAGTTCTGCTATTTGAAAAGGGAGTTCTGCCATTTGAAAAGGGAGTTCTGCCATTTGAAAAGGGATTCTGGCATTTGAAAAGGGAGTTCTGCCATTTGAAAAGGGATTCTGGCATTTGAAAAGGGAGTTCTGCTATTTGAAAAGGGATTCTGGCATTTGAAAAGAGAGTTCCGCCATTTGAAAAGGGAGTTCTGCTATTTGAAAAGGGAGTTCTGCTATTTGAAAAGGGAGTACTGCCATTTGAAAAGGGATTCTGGCATTTGAAAAGGGAGTTCTGCTATTTAAAAAGGGATTCTGGCATTTGAAAAGGGAGTTCTGCCATTTGAAAAGAGATTCTGGCATTTGAAAAGGGAGTTCTGCCATTTGAAAAGAGAGTTCAGCCATTTTAGGCATTTTCAAAAACAGTAGTTCAACGTTCAAACATCAATAGCGCAGTCAATATTGCATGGAAATTCAACTTTAATATATGAAAATCAATTATCATTATTTCGTTGCGATAGCTTTTACGTTTTTTTTGGACACCCTGTAGTATTTTTTATTTTTTCATTTATAGGTAGCATCGTGTTCAGGCGATGGTGTTGTCCATTATAATGATGTCAACAGTCATTTATCTTACGGGACCAATCCTTTTCGTTGCCATACTGGAACGACATACGAGGTATTAAATCCTGGAGGTTCAGTAACGATCATCTCTTATTCATCCGGTGTTACTACAGGAGGAAACCTAAACTAAACTAACTTTATTTATACTGGATAGCTCGATCAGTGCTAAACTGTTCTTCCTAGAGGTGCAGTAAGGATCATCTCTTATTGATTCAGTGTTACTACAGGAGGAAACCCAAACTAAACTAACTTTATTTATACTGGATAGCTCCATCAGTTCTAAACTGTTCTCCCTAGAGGTCCAGTAAGGATCATCTTTTATTGATCCAGTGTTACTACAGGAGGAAACCTAAACTAAACTAACTTTATTTATACTGGATAGCTCTATCAGTTCTAAACTGTTCTTCCTAGAGGTCCAGTAAGGATCATCTCTTATTGATCCAGTGACATTACAGAAGGAAACCTAAACTAAACTAACTTTATTTATACTGGATAGCTCTATCAGTTCAAAACTGTTCTTCCTAGAGGTCCGGTAAGGATCATCTCTTATTGATCCAGTGTTACTACAGGAGGAAACCTAAACTAAACTAACTTTATTTATACTGGATAGCTCTATCAGTTCTAAACTGTTCTTCCTAGAGATCCAGTAAGGATAATCTTTTATTGGTCCAGTGTTTCTACAGGAAGAAACCTAAACTAACTTTATTTATACTGGATAGCTCTATCAGTTCTAAACTGTTCTTCCTAGAGGTCCAGTAAGGATCATCTTTTATTGATCCAGTGTTGCTACAGGAGGAAACCTAAACTAAACTAACTTTATTTCTACTGGATAGCTCTATCAGTTCTAAACTGTTCTTCCTAGAGGTCCAGTAAGGATCATCTCTTATTGATCCAGTGTTACTACAGGAGGAAACCTAAACTAAACTAACTTTATTTATACTGGATAGCTCTATCAGTTCTAAACTGTTCTTCCTAGAGGTCCAGTAAGGATCATCTCTTATTGATCCAGTGTTACTACAGGAGGAAACCTAAACTAAATTTATTTATACTGGATAGTTCTGTCAGTTCTAAGACTAGGAAATTAAATTGAAATGTTATTTTCAGGTGAATACAACTCCAGGGGACCCACACACCTTCATGTCTTCTGGTGAAGATGGTACAATACGTTTGTTTGATGTACGAAGTAAGACAAAGTGTTTATGTGACGGTTGCAAAGAGGTACTGTATATCAATGTGTTTTTTTTTAAAGATATACCAGATAGGGCTTTTGTTATCCGGCCCGATATGCCGGGTACTTAAAAAATATCCGGCCAGCTAGTAGCAGCTACCAGATTTAGTGATCAACTCGAAAGTTTATGCTCTTTTGATTACTATGCACCTTAACCTTATTAAATTAACTTGAAATTATTAATTCAAAGCATAATCATTTGTAAAGTTTTATATACATTTTCCTTGTTTTGTAAATAGTGCAGTTTCTGAATAGATCTTGAAATCTTGAAATGTAGATGATGTTGATATATGGTTTGGGTTTTTATTTACGGTAAAATAATGATTTTTTGGAGCACTTCTGTAAGAATTTCTCTGTTTCTTTAGGATGTACTGATAGACTGTCAGAAAGCAGTCACGTCGTTCAGTGTTAATCCAGTTCAACCTTACTACGTCGCCATTGGCTGTGAGAATAGTTTGTTACGAGTTTATGATAGACGATCACTGAGTACAGGCGAGCCAGGCAAGGAACATGACAAACAGCGTGGTCTATTGTATCAGTTCAAACCAAAAGCGTTAGAGAAACGGGATTGCAGAGTGACCTCGCTCAAATACAGGTATGTTGAAATAGGTTAGTGTTACTAAGTAAACACTATCGTGCAGCAGATAGTGGTCAACCCGCAGTTATCAGAGTGAGAAAATAATTTTAAATCTTGTATTTGGAGGAAAATAAATAGAATTGTTATTTAATTTGCTTCATCCTGTAGTAAGACTGGATCAATAAGAGATTATCCTTCTAGACCTCTAGGAAGAACAGTTTAGAACTGATAGAGCTATCCAGTATAAATAAAGTTAGTTTAGTTTAGGTTTCCTCCTGTGGTAACACTGGATCAATAAGAGATGATTTTTACTGGACCTCTAGGAAGAACAGTTTAGAACTGATAGAGCTATCCAGTATAAATGAAGTTAGTTTAGTTTAGGTTTCGTCCTGCAGTAACACTGGATCAATAAGAGATGATCCTTACTGGACCTCTAGGAAGAACAGTTTAGAACTGATAGAGCTATCCAGCATAAATAAAGTTAGTTTAGTTTAGGTTTCCTCCTGTAGTAACACTGCATCAATAAGAGATGATCCTTACTGTGGACCTTGAGAGAAAACAGTTTAAGTATATAAATAGAATTTAAGGTTTATAAAATTTAAAATAGTGGTTCTTGTTGCTTTTTTAGTTCAGATGGTGAGAATCTTCTTGCAAGTTATTGTTCGGACTATGTGTATCTCCTCGACTCTAACCCTAAACAGGCGGATCAATTGCAGCGAGGCATGGAGGACGAGACAGATGGGCCATGCCCGAACACAGGCAACGATCCACCAATGAAACGACTGCGCTTGCGCGGGGACTGGTCGGACACGGGGCCGAATGCCCGGCCAGAAGGTGAAGAACCCGGTGCTAGTGAAGATAACTTCGTGCAACGCATGTCGGGATACTTCACAAGATGGATCGAGGAGTCGATACGGAATGCACGAAGACAACGGCGACGAAATCCGACTGGATCGCGAAGACGTCCCGAAGGTGATACGGAGGATCACGAAGACGATCCGGAGCAAAGCGATGATGGTGAGAACTCTGAAACGTTGGAGAGCGCATTACCTTTGACAGAGGAAAGTTGTGATGAGCAAAGGACTCAGACCGATTCAGATAGTGACGTCACTGAAACTAACAATGACGTCACTGAAACTAACAATGACGTCACTGGAAATAAAGATGGCGTCACTGAAACTAGCAATGACGGCACTGGAAATAAAGATGACGTCACTGAAAATATGGATGACGTCACTGGTAGTGACAATGACGTCACTAATAGTCCCATTGATGTCGCCAACCATCAGAACAACGTGACGCAAAAAGGAGAAAAAGTTCCTAATCGTTCTCATAATGTGAATGACGCATCAGAATGTAAGAAACCAAGAGACGTGAATTTTTCACGTGATTCTAGTTGCAGATCACGTGACGAAGGCGACGTCACCAATAGCAATTCTAATGATACGAGAACATATTATGAAAATCAGGCACGAAGCAAGAATCTTTATAGAAATCGACGTCGCAAACGAAATAATGCCTCCGACGCGATCAAGAGTGAGGACAACACAGTTCGAAATAGGAACAAGAATACTGAGTCGCGTGATCCGATGACGTCATGTGATGATGGTATCCATGACAACATGACATGTAACCATAGTAATGAGATGCGTGATGGTGAACTAGATAGGGATCCCTGTGGTGGAGCTAAACTACAATCTGATACTTCAAGTATCCGGGAAACTAAACCCCCGGAGAATGAACCATCACCGGCGATAACTTCCAGGGGATTGTCACCTACCCGGAATTTATGTTCTGAGGCACAAAATGCAGACGTTGGTATTCCAGCATGTGGTGATAATACTGGAATTTTCTCAACTGAAACTGTGGACTCGGAAACTGTAACCACGGGATCTGACACAATGGATTCTAGTTGTTGTTCGTTGTTAGATTCCACTACCCAAGCAAGTCAGAATAGCAGTTTTGAAAATTTGCAATCAGAAACACTAGGGTCAAATTGTGAGGGATTATTACCCGATGGGGATAATAATAATCTAGCTAATGAAAGGACACAAATTGGTACGAGGAGAAATGAACCCTCGGATATTGAAAGCTCAGAAAATAGTTCGGCACCGGGGATTAGTACTAGGGTAACAATCCCCTTGGGTACGAATACCCGGGGGTCTGAAACACCCACCATGGAAACTGGACCTGCAGAAACAGCTTCGGGAAATCACGAAGAAACCGTCGGCGAATCTTCGAGATCTGTCGGGGATGACTCGAGACGCGATGCCGCGGCTTCGACTATTCAGAATTTCTTCCGGTTTCGTGTGAAAAAAGATTTTCAGTCAATTCCATGTGATTTTCCCGTTCACTCGAATGTGAAACAAGTTTTCAAAGGACATAGAAACGCTCGTACAATGGTAAGTTTAATGAATAGGATGACGTTATTTCTGTATTGGTGTAATGTACTCAGGTGAATAAGATGCTTGTGGTGTTACTCTGATTGTATATCCACACCGGGCAGGCTTGAAAAATATGCCTGGCCATGGTGGGAAACCTACGACCTTTGGAATACTAGCCCAATGATCTGCCAACTGAGCTACGCCGAACCGACCTGACCTGATCTTAAAGGCCCTTAAATGAATAATATATTATGTAGATGTCTTCTTACCATTTTATTGTATGTATATGTATAGAAATTTATAAATTATTATAGTAGTTTATAAATTTTAAATTTTGTATAAAATTATTGTAAAGCTTCATGCAATACAGCCGAAAGGCTGCCATATGATTCTAATAAACGGTCTATCTATCTTGATATACTACTTGATGTTTTTATTAGATCAAGGAGGCAAACTTCTGGGGAGATGACTACGTCCTCAGTGGCAGCGACTGTGGTCGTATTTTTATCTGGTCAAGAAAGACGGCCGAAGTGGTCATGCTGCTCGAAGGCGATCAACATGTTGTCAACTGTGTTCAACCTCATCCGTGTGCACCGAGTAAGTATTAGTTTTGAAAAGGTGTTCATTTTAATCTTCAGCGGTGCCACTTAAAGGGCATATGACTCGAAAATTGACGTTGTTATTTTTTTAGTCTTTTTTTTCAGATAGATCATTGAAAACTGTAGAGTAACTTCTTTGATTGATTTTTGTTTTCTTGCTTCGATTTGGAGATATTTCATTTTGTATGATACACGAAGGACCAACTTCTGAAAAGCGTACTAAAAGCTGTATATCTTTAATACGACTAAACACAATCAATAGAAAACCTACATGGGTGTTGTTGTGGACAACTCTCATGCTCATCATTCATTTTGAGCGAATCTATTTGATAGTGACAAAATTCTATAACATTTTAAAGTAAATCATTATGACGTAGAATGTTGATGCTTTACATATCATACAAAATTAAATATCTCCAAAACGAAGCAACAAAACAAAAATCTATCAAAGAAGTTAGTCTACC